GAGGTCCTTGACAACAGACTTATCCAAAGCAATATGTCTCCTTAGCTCATAACCTATGGTCCTAGGGCATTTGTGGATCCAAGTAAGTTTACGTGATTGTAAATTTCAATCCCTTTCTCCAACTATTATGATGTCTATTGTCCTAGTGGTAAGGAATTTTGTTTTCTTGACGTTGAGATGTAATCCATATTAAAGGCTGTAGTCATTGATTTTCTGTAGCAAATGCTTCAGGTCATCCTCATTTTCAGCAAGCAAAGCTGTGTCATCTGCATAACACAGGTTGTTGATGAGTCTTCCTCTCATCCTGTTAGCACTTTGTTCTGACAGAGTCTGTTGTTATGTGCTGTCAAGTTGCTTACAAGTCATAGCAACCCTATGTACAAGAGCCCTAAAAGCTGCTTTATCCTGTGCCAATCTTATTGTCTCTGACACACCTACCCTCATTATCCCAGTTACTGAATTGATCCATCTCATCGAGGATGTTCTCTCTCTTGCGCTTTCCCTCCACCCTCCAAAACATGATGTCCCTCTCCAAGGACTAGTCCCTCCTTGTAACATGTCCGAAGTATGTCAGACAAAACTTCAGAATCCTTGCCTCCAAGGAGCAGCCCAGTTTCGCCCTCTCAAGGATAAACTTGTTTGTTTTCCTGGCAGTTGATGGTATATTCAACATTCTTCTCCAGCAACACAGCTCAAAGGCATCAATTCTCATTCTATGACCCCTAGTCATCGTCCAGCTTTCTGACGCATAGCAAGCAATTGCAAAGACTGTGGCCTGGATCAGGAACACCTTAGTCTCCAGACTGACATCGTTGCTTTTTAATACTCTGGAGATATCCCTGAAAGCTGACTTTCCCAGTGCAATTTGTCTCTTGATTTACTGGCTGCTGGTACCAAGAGTGTTGCTTGTGGAGCCAAATAAACTAAAACTGTTAACAATCTCAATCTCTTCACCATCCATAATGATGCTGACTATCGGCTCAGTAGTGAGAATCTTTGTTTTCTTGGTGTTGAGCTTCAATCCATTTTGAAGGTGGCAGACCTTGACCTTCTGCAGCAAACACTTCAGGTCCTCCTCAGTTTCAGCAAGCAGGGTTGTGTCATCTGCATAACATAGATTGTTGATGAGTCTACCTCCAATCCTGATGCCACATTCCTCCTCATACAGCCCAGTGTCCTGTATGATCGATTTTGCATACAGGTTGAATAGGTATGAAGACAGAATACATCACTGGCGGACATCCTTCCTGATTTTGAAACATGCAGTGTCTCCTTACTCTGTTCTGTCGACTGCCTCTTGGTCCAAGTATAGGTTTCGCCTAAGCATGATCAAATGTTCTGGGATTCCCATTATTCTCAGAGTCAGCCACAATTTGTTGTGATCCACACAGGCAAAAGCCGTTGTATAGTCAATGAAACACAGATAGACATTCCTCTGGTATTCTCTGCTTTCTGCCAAGATCCATCTAACATTAGCTATACTATCCCTAGTACCACGACCTCTTCTAACCCCAGCCAGCACATCTGGCAGTTCTCTGTTGATGTATTACTCCAGTCGTTTTTGGATAATTTTCAGCAGAATCTTGCTTGCATGTGATATTAATGATATTGTTTGATAATTTCTGCACTCTGTCAGGTCACATTTCTTTGGAATGGGAACAAATATCGATCTCTTCCAGTCAGTTGGCCAGCTGGCTGTCCTTCAGCCAGCACAATTTAGTTTTCTTGGCACAATTTAGTGAGCACATCCAGGGCAGTGTCTGTTTGTTGAAGTGTGCCATTGGTATACTGTCAACTCCTGGACCCTTGTTTTTTTGCCAATTCTTTTAGAGCAGCTTGAACTTCTTCCTTCATTACCACACTTTCTTGCTCATAGGTTGTTTCATTAAATTCTTCTGTGTCAGCCAGTTTCTTCTGGTACAGTGATTCTGTATACTCCTTTCATATTCTTCAAATGCTTCTTGGACCATTTATTATCATTCTGCCCAAAGCAACCTTAAGTATTGCCACTTGTGGCTTAAATTTGATTTTCAATTTCTTAGCTTAAGAAATGCTGAGCGAGTTCGGTCCTTTTGATTTTCTGACTCTAGCTTTTTGTGCATTTCATTATAATATCTTGCTTTGTCTTCCAGAGCTGCCCTTTGAAATTTTCTGTTCGGCTCCTTAATTTCTTGATTTCTTCTTTTAGCTTTGGGTTCTCCATGCTCTAATGCAATATTCAAAGTCTCATCTGATAATCGTCTTGGTCTTTTCTTCTTCTTCTGCCTTTGTAGTGAATTTTTGCATTCTTCATGGTAGCTATTCTTGATATCCTCCCACAGCTCCTTTGGTTTTCGCTCTTTGGTGTTCAAGGCCTCAAACCTTTACCTGAAACGGTTTTGAAATTTGAGTGAGATAGACTTAAAGTCAGATTTTGGTTCCTGTGGATTTGATTTCAATTTCTTCAACTTCAGCTTGAACTTGCATATGAGTACTTGGTGGCCTGTTCCACAATCAGCACCTGGCCTGGTTTTCACAGCTGATATTGAACTTCTCCTGGGATTCTTTGCACAGATGTAATAGATTTGATTGCTGTGCATACCATCAGGTGAAATCCATTTGTTTTTAGCCTGCATTTGTGTTTCTTATGGAAGGTATTTGCAATGAATAAACCATTGAATGTTATTTGCCCATCATACAGATTGAATAGGTATAGAGAAAGGAAACTATATATCTACATCTGACTCTATAGGAAGGTCCACCAACCTTTTTGTTGGTTGTGGAGGAAAAGTCCTTCTTTCATTCAGCATTTGTAGGTCCAGGTTTCCCTGGACACCTCCATGCTTTCTGGCTTTCTCTGGGGTCAAGGAATTAAGTTATGCTGGGGCCTGTGTCCAAAAAGACACAGTCCACTCCTGGTCAATATTTCTTGGTGTCACTAAGGGTTCCTCCTTATCTGAAATTTTGTATAAATAGCTTTTCATAGTCAACAAAACAAGGAGAAATTAACATTGTTCTGGTCATCCAGCCATGATGTCCCTTGTTTCAGATCTTCAAGTTAAATTTCTGGTAGTTCTCTGTTGAGGTACTGCTGCATTTTTAAAAAATTATTTATCACCAGCAAAATTTTATAAGAGTATGATCTTATTGATATTGTTTGATCATTTCTGGATTCTATTGGTCACCTTTCTTTGGAAGAGGCAATCAATAACAAATTGATTTATAGTTGATCCCCCCTCTAGAAAAGCAGGGTACTTGTAATGCCATGATTGGTATTTGTACTAAAACAGTGATTTTTCACATTGTAGAAGGGATAAAGGTGACCTTGAAAATTTACTGATAATCAGAATTGAGTAGCCTCAAAGCAGAACTCTAATTTGATCAGCCAGCTGGAGTCCAGGGAGCTGAGGTTTAAATACACCTCATACTTTGGATGTTTTTGTTGTTGTGAGGTGCTGTCAAAGATGACTCATAGTGATCCCACAAACAACAGATCTGACCCCTGTCCTATCCTCTGACATCCTCACAATCTCCCGCACCTGCAAACCCATTTCTACATCTGGATAGAGGTGATTTAAGGACCGTGCTTTGAGTAATATAATTTTCAAGCATCCTCTTCAATCAGCTGGTAAATTATCAACTCAGAATACATCATTTGAAAGCAAACATTTAGAGAAGACTTAAAGCAACAACTAGTATATTACTTTTCATGAAAATAATTTATTCAACAGTTCATCATTTCCTCATAAACATGTGCATTGATGGTTATCAAATTAAGGAAGGAAACTGTACTGTCAGAGGCAGAGGCAGGGGCAGAGGGTTTACAATTTTATTGCAAACCAAAGAAAATACTTTTTTTTTTAAATTTTTGTGTGAGTGTACCATCAAATCAGATCTGACTGGTACAGGAGGAGATTGCCCCTCCTTTTCCCGGCAGAGCATCTGGTGGATTCAAACCGTGTGCCTCTGGGATTGTAGTTGCAGCTCCTTGCCACTAGGCCACCAGAGCTCCCCCTAGAAGATACTTTTTAACCAATTTTCCTACCTGCATTGACCAGATGAGGTAACTGGCTTCTGGGAGCCTGTTACCCCATTTGGGAGACGTCTCATGAATTTCATTAAACACTTTGTTGTTGCTGTGTATCGTAGAGTCACAACTAAGCCATAGCTGACCCTCCAGCGGGCTTCAGAGGCAGTAAATGACACAGGAGCTGCCTGTTCAGCTTTCTCTCACAGAGCCTCTGGTGTATTTGAACTGTGTACCTTTGTGTTGACAGCACAGTTCCTTATCACTAAACCACCAGAGCTCTCTATCCTTAAATACTGTTGTTGTGTACTGTCAAGTCAGAACTGACTCATAGCTGACCCTCCAGTGGGTTTTCAGAGGTAATTAATTGCCCAAGAGGAGACTGTTCATCCATCTCCTACAGAGCAGCTGGCAGATTCGAACCACGTACCTTCAGGATTGAAGCGCAGCTTCTTGCCATTTATTGCAGTGAAGGCTTGTAGCATCTGATACTGACTGAAGGAAAAGGGCTGGTGGCATACACGTTTAACACTATTGGAGAGATTTTCTGTGTGCATTACCCTGGTCTGTCCACTTGCCGTACAGAGATAACTTGTGGTTGCTATGAAGCCGAACACAGTGACACTGATGAGTCAAATGTGAGAATGGTTACCCATGGTGGACGGTGTTTGGTGGAGCTCCCCAATTAAAACAAGCTCAGAAGCAGGAGTGGCATCCACTTCCATAATAGCTTGCCTCCAGAAACCCAATGAACTTAGAGAAAAGACGAAAGTTATACAAGTGTCCAGGGCTTTCGTTCATAGGGTTGCTATGAGTCACCTACGACTCAACGGCACTTAACAACAACAACAACAACAACAACAACAACAACAACAACAACAACAACATTCTATAAGTAGACTTGAACATGCATAAGTTAACTGCCCATATAATGAAAACTACTGTGTAACTGTAGGTATCTTTTTTCACAGTGTAAATAATATATGTTTTTCAGGAGGAAGAAAACAGAACTTAGACTCCAAATTCCTACTAACCAAAGAGGACTTTCTGTCCAATTTCAGTATGTTTAAGAAAGTAAGTTGGTTTTCCTTTTCTTTCAATTAGTAAGACTGTGTGTTATCGCTTTGCTAGAACAATAGTCCCAGCCTGTCTTGAATGCTGACGGACAGCTGGCCCTGTGCTCTGATGTTTTATATCTCACCCTCAATAGTCACATGCAGCTCGGGTGATTCTGACTCATAGTGACTCTATTGGACTCAGTAGAACTTTCCATAGGGTTTCCTAGGCAGGAAGGTTTGTGGGAACAGATCACTAAATCTTTTCTCCCTCAGAGTGACTGGTGAGATCAAGCCATTAACCTAGTTTGCAGTCAAGCACTTACCCATTGCTCCATTCAAGCTTCTTTTCTGTATGGACTGCAGAGCTGGTTTACTGAAATGAAAGCAGTAGTGACAATTATGAACACTACATGAAAGAACAGTTTCTATTTTCTAAATACTATAAACATTTTCTTTCAGAAGGAGCATGTTTTAAACTACAAATCTCATCCAGTGGACGACGGCGGCACTGATAATCCTGCCTTCAACCACATTGAATTAAACTTCACTGATCCAAGTGACAAGATGAATGGGACTCGTTTGTGAAAAGCTGTGAGGAGACCAGCATAAACGGTGTCTCAGTTTTCCATCTTCTCTAGGATTAGTGGATCAGCTTTAGGTTTTGTGTTTTCCTCCATCATGAGTGGTTTGGGGGAATATCTGGATTTTAAACTTTTGTTAAAATCCTGCCTTGCTCTTATTCCTTTCTACCCTCATCAATCAAGATTGCTTTTTTTAGGGAAGGGTTTGAGCATCAGCATGTTCCTCTGTCCCTCTTTGATTTCAATGCAACTGTGCTTGAACCTTTCTTAGATTCTGCTTCTTATCTAACATTCTCATTTCCTCACTCACTTGCTGTGCACTTTTCTACCACCATTCACCTTCTTCATTTCCCATTCACTCTTTTGCTCGGTGGTGTAACACAGAGTCAGAACTGACCCATAGGACCCTTAGCTGGCCTTCTGGTGAGTTTTCAGAAGCAGTTAATCTCAGGGAAGGAGATTGCCCATTCTTCTCCCATGGAGCAACTGGAGGCCTCAAACTATGTGCTTTTAGGTTTATAGCACAGCTCCTTACCACTAGGCCACCAGAGCTCCTTTTGCTCTAGACTTGGATGTATCTTGATATACCCAGTGCAAATCATGTTATGGATTAAAAACTCCCAGGACGCTACTACTCGAGTACACACATAAATCATGGTTTGGAGATCAAGGACATTTATATCCTTGGAAATGGTTAAGCTCCATGGAGTTAGTTGATTGCATTTAATTGAACTTTGGGATGCCAACTAATTTGCAATACACTACATTTAAAGGTGCACATGTTTTTTAGGTCCTGGAAATCTTGGCATTCATGCTATTAAATAGCTAAATCATACAGGCAAATACTCCAATTTCTCTCTAATGTTTTGGAATTACTAAGTGCTTTCCCCTCAGTGTTTTAAAATTTGAAGTAGCAGTCTTAAAATTGCTTACCTGTTTATTTTGCTACATTCCTAACTTAGAGTCTTTCATCAATAACTTATTTATTCTATTCTATGTACACAAATTAGATACAGACAGTCCCTGGGTTATGAACGAAGTCAGATCCTAAGTGTGTCTCTAAGAATTTATCGGTCAGTCGAAACAAGTGTATATAGTTCTCATTTAGCCTTATTTTAATGCAAGAAAAGGCTGAAAGCTTTTCCAATAATTTAAAAGCTGCAGTGTAGCAAGTGAAGGTAACAGTATTTGAGAATCTGTTGCGACTGTGGGTTGACAGAATTCAGCAGGTTTAGGTAACATTAAAGGGCAAGTGTAAGTTGTTTCTAAATTCTATGGTGTGCATAACCCAGGCACTCACTCCTGTCTTTAAGAGGTTTCAGTTGTCATTTTTAAAACTTTAATTTTTTTTAAAAAAATGAGTGAGAAATATTTAGATACATTAAAATGTTTTATAATTTTATGCTTATTTTCTTATCCTCAATATTTAGGTAACAATGTTCTGTACATTTAGTTTTGTTCTTATTTTCTTATCCTCAATATTTAGGTAACCATTTTCTGTACATTTAGAAGTTGCCAAATGGTAACATTAGGAAATAAAACAATAGGAAGTAACATTATCTGAAGCAGAGATTTATACAATATTTAAATATACTCATATATTTCTGATGTATATAGATGTTACTATATAGATGTTATTTTAAATCAATATTATGTTTGTAAGAAATGTCAAAAATTTCAAATCTTTATACAGTGTTAATGAGTAGGAAGATGTTTTGTTTTTTGCAAGTGTGATTTGAACAGTATTTATTTAATAATTCTAAATGTACATGTGTATTGAATGCTTCAGTTTTGGAAATGAAAATCAGATTATTTAAATAAATTTCTTCTTTATATGACTGCTTAAGAGATATGCAAGATATTCTTAATAGGATATGCTACTTTTAATTTTGGCTACTTTCTTTTAGACAAAGTGTATCTTTGTGATGTTAGAAATTATTAATATTTCACTACTGCAAAGAGCATCGACTAGAATTCTGAATAAATCAAAGCAATGTTATTGATTAAAAATATTTTATTTAAAAATCTTAAGTAAAACCATACTTTCATATATAATAATATAGATTAAACAATCTTAATCATTGTCAATCACAAGATAATTAAACTTTCACTGAAACCACAATAAAAAGTAAAAGAAAACAGGAAAAATCATCCAAGTTGTTATTCAGAGTCAATTTTGTTGCTGATTAGCTGTTTGATCTTAAATAACTACAGGTTTCAATATACCTTCAATGGAGAGAAACACTAAACACTATCCCACAGAAATAATGTATGAAAGATCAGGTTGAGTTCTTCATGAAAATAACATTAACTCAAGAAAATGAAATCCATTCGTTTTAAGTATTACTTAAAATTTCATTATGACTGGGAATACAATTTTTTCAATTTCTTTTTTATTAAACATATTTATTTCAGTAATTAACTTTTTTGTTGTTATTGTGTGTATCGTCAAATTGGATCTGACTGGCACAGGAAGAAGTTGCCCTTCCTTCTCCAACAGAGCATCAGGTGTATTTGAATCAGACACCTTTGGGATTGCAGTGTAGCTTCTTGTCACTAGGCCACTGGAGCTCCCCTTGGGAATAAAATTTTGTGATGAATATCACTTGCAAGTTTTGGAAAATGAGTAGCTAAAATTTTGCTGTGTATTGAAGTAGAGACAATTAATTCTCTAAAAAAATGTGTGCTATTTAAAAGTGAAAATATTTAGCTATTTGAAAGATTACCCCAACAGAATAAATGTAAAGATAAATTTATAAAAAGAGACAACAGAAAAACTCTCAAAATCGAGCTGAAGCAAACAATAAAGTTATTGATCAAACAATAAAGATATTGATCAATCATATTCACTCTATTGAAAAGTTAAAATTCTATAGACAGAATGTAAACTAGTACACATGTATACATTTATTTCTTTGTTAATACAATCATTTTTTGTATAATGTTTTCATAAGTAGTGACAGCAGGGGTGGTGTTTTTTTTTTTTCTCAAGACATATTTTTGTTCCACCCTGTTGTTATGGACCATCAAGTTGCTTGCAGGTCACTGTGTACAATAGCTCTGAACCCTGCTCTATCCTGAGCCAATCTCACTGTCTCCCACAAACCTATCCCCAATACCCCAGTTTCTGTGTCAATTCATCTCATTTGGTGTCTTCCTTTCCTGCATTGTCCATCCACCTTTCCAAGCATGATGTTCTTCTCCAAGGACTGATCCCTCATGACAGCATGCTCAAAGTATGTGAGACAGAGCTTTGAAATCCTTACCTCCAAGGAGCAGCCTGATTTTACCCTCTATAGGACAGGTCTGTTTATCCTCTTGGAAGCCCGTGGCATGTTCAATACTCTCCTCCAGCATCATGACCCAAAGGCATCAATTTTTCTTCTATCACCCTTAGTTTTTGTCCAGCTCTCTGATGCTTAGTAAGTAATAGCAAAGATCATGGACACTTAAGCAAAGATAAGGGACACTTTAGTCTCAAGACTGACATCATTGTTCCTCAGTACTCTGTAAAGATCCCTGACTGCTGATTTTCCCAATGCAATTAATCTTTTGATTTCCAGGGTGCTGGTGCCAAGAGTGTTGATTGTGGGGCCAAGAAAGCTGATGCTGTCCCACACTAAAAAATTGCCATCAAGGGAGTAGAGGTCAAGGATATTGACAAAGATAATACACAGGGTTGTTGCCCTAACTGAAGAATAAGTTCTGTAACTCAGAAACCATGTTCTAGACACAAAGGTTACCATTTTGATAGTCCTAAATGAAATGCCTGGCTGAGTTCCTTCAAAAAAATGTCCTGACAATTTTAAATAAATATTCTCATCTATTTAAAAGGAGAAAAAAAAGAGCTTAAAATAAAAAAAAGAGAAAAACCTAATTCTCTCCCTGCCATCCCCCGACTGCTGTCATTGTGTCTCTGCTATCTCATAACAACCCTAAGGGATGGAAAAGAACTGCCCCATAGAGTTTCTGAAGTTGTAAATATCTGTGGGGGGAGAATGCCTCATCTTTCTCCTACAGAGTGGCTGGTGGACCACCAGTGATCTTTTGGCAGTGCTTTTTAGGTCTAATTGGCTCCTACTCATAGTGATCCAGATGACACAGTCTTTCTTGCTGAAACTGAGGAGGACTTGAAGCGTTTGGTGCGAGAGGGTCAAGGACTACAGTCTTCAATATGGTCTGAAGCTCAACATCAAGAAGACAAATATTCTCACCACTGAGCAAATTGGCAGCACCATGATAGATAGAGAGGAGATTGAGATAGCAAACAATTTCAGCTTGCTCGGCTTCCCAGTCACCACTCTTGGCACCAGCACTCCTGAAATAAAAAGATTTGCATTGGGAAAATCTGCAGTCAGAGACCTCTCCAGAATGCTAAAGAGCAACGATGTCCATCTGGAGACTAAGTTGTGCCTGATCCAGGCCATGGTCTTCGCAATTACATGCTATACATCAGAACGCTGGACAATGACTCGGGATGATAGAAAGAGAATTGATGCCTTTGAGCTGTGGTGCTGGAGAAGAATATTGAATATACAATGGACTGCTTAGAGAACTAACAGGTTCAATCTGGAGAGAGTGAAACCAGGCTGCTTCTTGGAATCAAGGATTCTGAAGCTCTGTCTGACATACTTTGGGCATGTTGCAAGGAGGCACCAGTCCCCAGAGAGGGATATTATGCTTGGGAGGGTGGAGGGACATCACAAGAGAAGAAGACCCTCGATGAGATGGATTGACATAGTGACTGGGGTAATAAGGGTAGGTGTGTCAGAGACAATAAGGTTGGCTCAGGACAGAGCAAGGTTTAGAGTTGTTATACATAGGTTGCTATGAGTTGCAGGCAACTTGATGGCACATAACAATCACCACCACCACCATCATATAGTAAATGAATTTTTTTAGTATAATAGGCTTTGTGAGGATGGGACCATGGGCATACATGTTGTCCAAATAGACATTATGCAGTGCATAAACATACATAAATTGTCCCTATAAATTGTTGTG